CCTTGCCGATTAGACTATTTTTCTTACTTTTTGTGTTTTGTCATGAAAAAAAGATATTCTAAAAATTTAGAAAGGGTTGGCGTAGGTATTTTCGCTCGCCACTCTATCCTCACTGTGGGATAAATTGTCCTCTCCGTTTATTCCACTGAACTCGACCCAGAACTCTTGCTGTATTAATTTTGATGTTATTACCCACCAAACTGGCCATTCTTAGTTCTTTGAAGTGACGACAAGTACTGACGATAGAAAATGTCTTCAGAAGTCATTATTCTCGTTTAACAGAAGAGGATAGAGGACGGTATGCGTCCTAGCACTCATTTCACATTATGGAGTGGCAAGTCTTGGATTATTAATGTGACTCGGTGGTCTTACCGTCATATTATGCATACAAAGGGAAATACAGTGCGGAAGCCGACTCGTTAGCTAAAGTTGTATCTTATCGTGCGAAAACGGGCAATGATGCCCCCGAAGACGCTTGTCTTTCTCGCGAGGGAGTCTGATACAAATGCACCCGCCGTTGTGTAGTAATGCACCGAACGAAGTTAGATCCTAATAGGGCTAAAAGTATTCACGAACCCAGCAATGACCTTTGAGGTTACAGACTACTCAAAGGTTGTTTTGGGAGCGAAACGGATGAAACAGTGCCATTATCGTTACTACACATGCAATTTTGTGTTAAAAGAAGTAATTTGAGGTCCTTTGTACATTTTTTCTGTTGCTAGATCTATTTCTGAGGCCACAATCTCCCTACTGAGGTCCCCCGTTTCCATTCGGTTGCTTTATTTACGAGTAGTTTCTAACCTGCGGATTTTAGCAGAAAGGTTATGTAAAGCAGAGGTATTAGTTGAATAATATGAGGGATTGGTATTTCAGAAGTCATAGCATATGGGACAGGAAGTTTAGGCTAGCTAGGAAGATTTTAATTAATATTACACCGTTTCCGAGTAACTGTACATTTGAAGGTTAACTCGTGTTAATCCTTGGTTTATCTTACTGACGGGCTTACCAAGGACGCGGATGTCAGCCCCT